CCACCACCGCCCGGCTCGAGCAGCGGCTTTCTACAGGAAGGCTCACATTTAAGTGTCTGACACTGCTCAAGGGAACGCAGCCTCTGGCGACACCTCCCCCTCATCTGGTGTATGTAACTCAGTAGTAACCTCCATAGCTCCTGTGCAAGCAGAGCTTAGGTGTTTATACTCTCCAGCATCGAGTTCCTTCTGCAGAGTCACAATGTAACCTTGTGTTATATATACTGAGTAATATGACTATAACACATGTTGAGCAACAAGTGACCAGGCTGGATACCTTTGTTGATCTTGGTTTATTTTGTTTTGGAGACAGGATCTCGCTATGCAGCCCTGGCTGGTCTAGAACTCATTATGTAGACCAGGTTGGACTTGAACTCACAGAGCTCTGCCTGTCTCTGCCTCCCAGTGCTGAGATGAAAAACATTTGCCACCATGCCAGGTTATCCTGGCTGGTTATTATGTACAGTTATTAAAAACTACACTCATTGGTTTCCAGACTCCTGACTTCCCGTAACAGTGGCTATTTCATATGTCAGAATGAAAACAAGTCAGCATGAGCAAGTGGCTCAGGAGAGTCAGCCTTTAACCTGAGCTAGGTTTGCAGTCAGTCCTGGTACGTACCATGGTGAACGTGCACAGAAGACTCATGAGAACTGTTAGACTGTTAGAAAGCAAACTAAGACAAGCCTGTTTGGGGGCAGTTCTTTCTGCTTCCTGGAGACTTAAGGAAACAGACTACATTCACCTGGAATACATATGGTAAATGAGACTTGACAGAAGTTGAGCCAACAGACTCTGTATCAGTGTTTTTAGATAGAAAGAGCCAAAAAAAAGTTGACAGATTTGTAACAAATCTGCTTACCTTGCAAACAGAAAGAACATTAATATTTATCAGTTTCTTGATGGTCTGCAAAAAAATTAGATAACTTAATTAGGAAAGAAATGATGTTACAAATACACTTTGGGGAAGACAAATGGGAAGCTTCTTCAGATACTGCAAAGAACTGTAAATACAATGGGAGCTGAGGTCAAGAGGTAGATTTTTGCTTTATCTCAATGTTATAATATGTGTAACAAAAGCAGCAATTCATACTAATATGCAAAATGTAAGGTAAATGCACAAGTCAAATTTGAAAGTGAAGAGACACATTAAATCCAAAATAAAACACTTAGTAATTTCCTCTCAACTAATAGGGAAAGTGGAGATGATTGAAGTTAAGAGCTTCAATTGATTTTAAAAACTGACATGGTCCTTCAGGGATGTGACTTCTTAGTTTTCATTAAAGGATTATGCATGTAACAAGGCTGCAGCTTTCATTTTGGTAAAGCTAGTTTATTTCAATTAACTATGTTGCTATATATTAACATATTTATGAGTTTTTAAACTGAATTTTGATGTCCCAATACTTAAAATAGAGCTATCTTAATCTAATAGAAAGAGTAATAATGAAATTAGAGTTATTATTGATCCTGGCACTGTGTAAATATTTTTTCATTCAATCCTTCTAGCAATCCTATGATGCTACCTATTTTACATTTGCGAGTGAATAAACAAACTACCTACGGTTAGGCTCATCCCCACAAGAGCCAAGCCATGAATTGCAGACAGCTGGACTCTGATACTCAATCTGAAATCATTCTTCAATACTGCCTCACTGATACTTTCATGCATTCTTTTTGTTACCATAATAAACAAAGAAAAACTCACATTGTCCAAGTCAGGAATTTCCAAAAAGTATTCTGGATACTCGTATGACATGCCCACATTGTTCACTGAAATAAGACAAGATTGTTAGCTAGCACATTTATTTTACCAATGTCCTGAAATGCTGATTAATTTATTGAGACTAAAATGCTACATATAAAGTTATATCTAAAATCCTCATTACTCCAGTTTAAATGCTCTTTCCTTCATGAAACCTTTCTGTACTTACCATCTACATGCCTCTCCCTGGTAGCTCTCTGGAAAGTGTGTTCTTCCTCTGTATTAGTCATCTGTAGATAATGTCAATCAATTGTTCTGCTCCTTACACCTTCATGAACAAAGAATGCACAGTGCAGGAGACTGGAAACCTGGGTTCTACTTACAGCCATGGCACAAAATGTGTGACCTGAATAAGTCATGTCCAGTTCACATCTCAGCCTATTCACCGCTAATGTAAGAGTTTACTCAGTCATGTAACAAATATTTACCACATGCTTGTAGGCAAGGCATGTGCTGCTAGGGACTAGAAAGGGCAGACAGACAGAGAAGGGTTCTCATATCATGGGTTTTACAACCTGGTAGGAAGAGAAAGGTTCCTAACCCAAAGAATCCATTATTTCATAACAAAGTGTCCAGCGTCATGACAGTCTATTTCTAGAGAGCCTGACTTCGAGGCTTCTTGTGAGCTAGGAGGGCAGATCAGACTAGGTCTCTTTAGTAAACAGTCCAGGGAAGGCTTTCCTCGAACCTTCCTCTGTGCAGAGTCATCTCACCTCAGCTCGGTGCTGTAAGACTATAGATCATTTGGATAGATTTATACATATTAGGTCTTATAGTGGAATACTCAGTTATCAGCGGTTTCTCTAGACCCAGAAAGACAAAGACAAACAAGAAATAAGGAACATTGCCAAGATGGATGAAATATCCTTGACTTTACATAAACTAATTAACTTACAAAATAGATTATCTATTTATCTACACTTAACTGCCACAACAAGCCCATGAGGTAATTTCTAAGTTATACCCTAGAAGCTGAAATCCACAGCACTTAAAAGATCATAGGGCAAACCATGCCAGAATTGAAATTCAGAAGTTTGACTACAGAACCTCAACTTTAAATCACTAAAACTACCACACACCTTCATCTGGGATTTACTCAGGACAAGTGACCAGTAATAACTGGAAAAGAAACAAAATACTGATAGCATGTTTAACAAAACCAAAGAACTAGAAAAAAGTGTCATTGCAAGACAATAACAAAATTATGGTCACTTTGTAGGCGTACCTTTTCCAATACTAAATTAATAGTTGGAAGAAATGGGATAGTGTTTCATATTTAGCTAGGTCTATCACTAGAGTCTGAGCTTTCAGATTTTCCTTGCAAAATTCTGTAAGGATGGCTTGAACAGCTCCCTGATAGCCATCTGGAAACAGGAAAGCCAATGAGTAGGACCCCTGCCCACCTGAAGAGGGAGAACGTCTGAACAGCTAATAACAGTGGCTCTAGATCCGTTTTTATATTACTCCTCCCTCTATCAACTGTCTCAGCCACCACTTTATAAAAGATGTGAAAAATTCAAAAACCAAGGTAAGGCCTTAAGAGCAGTTGACTTTAGTTCAACCACTGCAGAGTTATAAAGGATAAATAGTTTATAATTATTAAAAGTATAACTGTAAATCTTTTAAGAGCCAAAACTGGTGGGCTATTTTTGTTATTATTCTGAAATCTAGAACTTTGTAAGTAGAACAGCTGACTTGCAATCTTAGCATGTGCTACAAGCACAAAACTGAACTAAGGAAGCACATAAATAACTCAGCAAGCTGGGGACTGTGATTCTGGTTAAAGTATTAACAGTAGACAGCTTTCTGACCTGCCTCTGCTAACTGAGCCAAGAAAACTAGCAGTGCTGTCGCTCATACAACAAAAATGGGGAAATCTATTCAACAGAGCGGTATTAAGAAAAAAAACAACTCTTTAATCCAAAGTAATAAACTATCGTGTAGGAGGACTGTGTTAAGTATCCTAAGTGCCCAACAAAAACTGTGAAATCTAGAAGGGGATTTCAGAGCATCAAGTCTAGGCTTATGAGTTGGATGAGGAAAAAACAGATGTCAAAACGCACAGCAGGCACCAGGACTCCTGAGCCCTCTGCCTCCCTGTATACGACGTCTTCTGCAGTAGCATGCAAACTATCATCTTTCCCAGGGAGTAATCAGTTCATAGCGCTGTGAACAACTGTTGTTCTTCTCAGATCTGAGGAAAGAGAAGCTCCGAACACAGTACACTGGGATGCTGGAAATTTATATTCAAGGCACTTTGGAGTCAGCAGATACTGGATGAAGCTCTGTAGTCATCATCACTACTTAAAGACCGGACCCACTGAAGATGGACAGAATCACCTTCCACCTTCTTACTCAAATCACAGATGAGACTAAAAATCAGGTGTCACGCCTACAGCTGGAGGAATTTTATCATAGGCCATTATCTCTTTTCTGTACTACTCAGTACTTCTAAAATCATTTCCTACCCCTCCACAATTACCTTTATTCCTCCTCCACTCCTCCCTTTAACCATCCGACTTTAACTGCCCATTTGAGGGACTCAGTGTACATGTGTGTGTTAACAAATCTGATCATTTCGGCATGTTGCACCATCAACATCTTCTGAGGGAAAGTTTGAGGGCCATCACACTCTTCATAACTGTTTCTCCCTAAGTGCACACACTGGGAATCTCTTGGAAAAAGGCAAACCCACTGCAGTTTTATTTTGAGACAGTAGGTGACAGCAATAACCACAGCAGATAGGAAGCTTTCCGGGATGCTGAAGAAAGAGGAAGTGCTGTGAGTAGGAGGGAGAGACGGAACTACTCCCATTACAGCTTAATCTCCTTAAGAATGGGGGCAAGCAGTGCCGTCACCTTATGTACTTACTACAAGATGCTTTACAGGATTCACAAACACAACCTCACAAGTTGTTCTAACCTTATTCAGAAAGTCGAAAAATCTCTTCTAATGGATGGAACCTTAAATTAGCATCAAAGCTGCACTGCCAGCGAGTTTTGTAGCTTCTTCCTCCAGGAACCACACAGTTCTGTGCTGCTGCTCCCACCTCAGGGCCCTTTCAGTAGTGAATACATCATCTCATTCAGAAACCAAAGCCATCTGTGGAACTTCCAAATTCTCACTGTCCCAGTAATCAGCTCCAGGCCTTGAATACTTCCTAACACTTGAAGAAGCTCACCTTTACTTCTGGTCATGTTGCTGTGATAAAATACCCTGACAAAAAACACTTAAGGGGGAAAAGATCCATTTTGGCACACTGTTTGAGGTCACAGTCCAGCAAGGCAGGAAAATGAGTGTGGGAGGAGCTGGAGGCAGCTGCTCACACTGCATCCATCCATAGTCAGGAAGCAGAATGATGAATGACATGCTCGACTCACTTCCTCCTTTTTAAACAGTCCAGGACCCAGCCCAGGGAAACAGAGCCACTCACTTTTAGGATGGTTCTTCCCACCTCAATGAATTCCTCGCAGGCATGCCCAGAGGCTAAATAATCCTTCAAAGGTATGTTTAAAGGCTTGTCTTCTATCAAGTTGGGAATTAAGATCAACCATCACAGAACCCAATGGAAGAGGTGGGGCTGAGCGAGAACACAAGTATAGACAGACCAAGAAGGAAGGGAAAGTGGAAAGGCTCTGGTGGTAGGCAGAGGTGCCATCCTTAGAGACCTAGTCCCCATGGAGTGGGTCCTTCCTTACAGGGGGGACTGGCGGGGAGCTTCACTTAGGGAGCTTCACTCTTGACGGCCCATTCTGAACCCCAAAGAATACTACTGTCAAAGAAAGTGCTACATTTAGAAAAAGAAGATTTGGAAAATCCAGAATAATTCTGGGTGTTATAGTAATATTTTAATTATATTATAACTGCTTAAAATCATTTCCACATCTCATTCTTTAAAACAAGATTTTTGTCCCTTCAAAGTTCATGTGCTGCTGTTCTTTATGGGCCTAGAATCCTCTATCACTGCTAGTTGCCAGAGGTAGAATGATGTCATTAGAAAATTAGATTCCTGGTATCTGGGTTGTGCATGAGGGTGGAGCAAACAACAATAAATTACTAGAAAACGAAAATCCATTCATGCACTAACCTCACACAGACCACTTTCAACTGGCTTCATTTTTTATATTAATCAGAAACATCAGAAATTAATGTGGTTTAAAAATACTTTGCCTCGTGGTCGGGCTTCTAAATATAAATTACATAACATGAAGTATCTTTGTTTCCTTCTTATGACATCAAGGCAGAAAAGGATAAGCTTACACTTCAGCTACATTCATAGATATTCCAGTCCCAGCACTTCAGAGTTTATTACTAAAACCTGTTTCAAGCAATGATGTCATACACCAAAGGTTCAGTGAGTTTGTATGAGGGGTGTGTGTGTGTGTGTGTGTGTGTGTGTGTGTGTAGGGGGTGGGGGATAACACTTTCTGCCTTAAATTTCTGTAAAATGGTCTGGGGTTTGACCTCAATGGTAGTGCACTTGCCTAGCATGTGGGAGGCTCTGAGCTCCATCTCCAACACCATTAAAAAAAAAACAAAAACAAAAAACAAAACAAAACAAAAAAAAAACTGTAAGAGGCTACAGAACTCAGAATCCAGGAGAGCTAGGGTTCAGCCCTGCTGCATCATCACTGCTTCTAAAACTGGAACATAAAATAAGTCTGCTTCCTCACTATTCTTCATACATGAAATAGGAACAATCATTTCAGCAAAGGACATACTGTGCACCGTCATGAATCCACCGTTTGGAGCAGGTTAAAATGTCAATCAATGAAGGAAAAGCTGCTGTCATGTGCCCATTAATCCAACAAGTATTTACTGCCCTCCTACTTTGTGCCCAATACCAGATACCTTGTTTTTATCATGTATGACCAGCATCAACACAACAGAGCTTCTGCAAGGCAGAGCTCAGGGCAGCTCTCAACTGGGGCAGCTGGATTTACCCCAGTACCTCCTCTGCCCTCTTCACTGCATTCAACAGACCTAGTCTCACAGTTGGAGGAGATAGTGACAGAGATGCAAAGAAATTTCCTTTTTTGCCTTCTTAACATATTGCTGGAGCTAGCACATGTTCATACACTGACAGATGATATTTGGAACACGATGTAAAACATTTTGCAAACTTTACAGTTTTCATACACTTGTAAGTAGCAATTTCCAAATAAAAGAGGTTTACAAGCCTTTAAATTTGCAGCGCCTTTAATCAGAAATTGAAAAATTAAGATTGAGTCAGAGGCAACAGCACACACCTCCCTTTGACTGTTTAATTACAAACTGCTATGTGACTGATCCTCATTACAAAATCAGGTAAGATTTGGCACACAAAACATTGAAAGTGAGGGTGCAGAAAGAAGAATGACATAAGGCTAGTGGTTCAAAGGCAGCTATTAGGGGGCTATTTATCAATTCCTATTTACATCTCTGAAATCACAGAGTTAATTATCCAGATTTAAGTTAAAGGCTCTGCTCTAATTAATGCCATTAGCAGTGTCTGAGTGAAGAAAATAAATGTGAATTCTAGCAGTCTAACGCTTACTTCAGAAAGCTATCTCAGTCAACATATTTAGTGGGATGGCATGGCACTCTCCTGGATGGTATTTCCACAGAGTGTCCTATAGAAATGAGCCTCCATGCCTATTCTGTTTCCATGAGTCTTGTACCAGTCCTCTACCTCCTTCAGTGCAAAGGGTCCCCGCTGGCAAAGGAGGGAATTCTTATCAGTCATCCCTCTGGCTACTTGGATTTGCACTGAATTTCTCTCAACCACTCATAGTTCCAAGTGCAGTCATTATTTTGCTTTACAGAATTTTCTCTGCATCCACAGTCTCTTGTCTAGAAAATGTCTCCCTGTTGTTCAAGATAAAACCCGAAAGTTGCTACCGAGTGGTTATCTAATTCTGAACAATACACTTAACTTCTCCACATTTGTTTCTTGCCTGTAAAATGGGCAGAGGTGTTTTCATCCATCCATCCATCCATCCATCCATCCATCCATCCATCCATCCATCCATCCATCCATTGAGAAAGGGTCTCTCTATGTAGCCCTGGCTGTCCTGCAAGCCTCTATGTATACCAGGCTAGCCTTAAACTCATGCAGAATCGCCTGCCTCTACCTTCTAAGTACTAGGACTAAAGGCATGCGCCATTCTGCCCAGCTTGGGGCACAGGAGTGTTCAGATTTATCTTAGTCACGTCTACCTGTATCCACTGCTACCACCTACCAGATGCTCTCAGCATCTTATCTGTTGGGATAGCCTTATTGGCTTCCTCACACTCCTTTGCCTTCTTCCACTTGGAAGTCAGAAGGACTTCCTAAAAATGTTACCAGTTTGTGCTTAAAATTCGACTGTGGCTTCCCCAAAATGACTCTTAAACTAAATTTGGCCTGAGGATACTTCCATACTTTCACTCCTACTTAACAAACTACAACTTTACTTAGCAAGTAAACTAACTGAAAACCTAACTCATGTCAGATCCAAAAGAAATTGGGGACAAGTGGCTAACTGTGGTGCCCATTAGCATGAGCACACCCTGGCCTCCGGGCTGCCTCAGCAGAGTAAGTCCCTGTTACAGAGTAAGTCCCTGTCACAGAGTAAGAACCTGTTACAGAGTAAGAACCTGTGTCACAGAGTAAGTCCCTGTGTCACAGAGTAAGAACCTGTTACAGAGTAAGAACCTGTGTCACAGAGTAAGTCCCTGTGTCACAGAGTAAGTCCCTGTGTCACAGAGTAAGTCCCTGTTACAGAGTAAGTCCCTGTGTCACAGAGTAAGAACCTGTTACAGAGTAAGTCCCTGTGTCACAGAGTAAGTCCCTGTGTCACAGAGTAAGAACCTGTTACAGAGTCCTTGCTGGCATCCCTGCTCCCCTCAGCTCTTCTCACCACACCCCTTACCCTAAATTTCTCCATCTCATGGGCTTCCCTTCCCTAAGCTTATCTAACCCTGCCATTCGGCCA